ACTACTACTACTACTACTACTACTACTACTACCGGGTAGGGTTTTCGCTAGTTTCTCCATACTGGGCGCTTCCCCAGGTGGCGGATAGGGGCATCCTCTTAAAATATGAGGTGACGATGGGCAGCTGAGGTGGCTCTCTGTAGTGGTGGTCGGGGGCATGGATCAGGGGGCGTGTGTATCTGCGGCGATGTGGAAGAGGGACTAGTGCCCCATGCCTCCATCGGTGCGGATGCATGGGCCGGCTCTGCTTGTGCTCCTTGTTCTTCGCTTTTTGCTGCTTCCATACGTGGCACTCCATTGCTTGATGCGGACCAACAGAAACTAGCACCCGTCGTGTATAGAAGTAAGCGGCAGTTAAGACATTCTTTTCAGATACATGCATCACACACTCTCCCTAAACTAACACAGGGACACTTACGGATTGTCCTAGGTTGCGTGTGGCCGGTCCTTTTCCAGGCTTGCGTTGAAGACCTGGCGACGGGTGAAGCCAGATGATGAGGCCCGGGTAAGTCTAAGTAACCACATCTGATATAGCTGTACGACTTATGAACAAAACAGATGTGGTGGGCTAACTAATCTAAGCTTACTACCACTGAGGAGGCTATATGGCGGCACCTTAGTGCCTTACGCCAGCCCGTTTTGTTGGGTTGTCTGCGCGGTCTCGGGACTGTACACCTGCCACTCGTCTCGCTGGAATGACCGTTGTGTACCAACAAATACATACATCACACACGAACATCATTCTTACACTTGTTACTCAACGCCTGGGCAGTCTCCGCGGGTGGGACTGAGGGAGAGTGGCGACTCCCGGCCAGCCCGAGCAAGTAGCGGTTTTCTTTGGTAACAGAAAGGGCTGCTGCCCTGGTTTTAACCATTTCCGAATACTCATTTCTAGAAAAAAAAGGTAGTGCTGGCCTTCACGGGTCAGTACGATATTAAAAAAAAAGCCAATATAAAAAATGTCGACGCAAAACGAGTACCCCAGGCGGTAACCTCTTTGAGGGAATCCGCCGGCAGTTCCGATCCGGTAAAAGCCCGGGTGACTGACGCAGGCCCCACAGATTCTGGGGGGGGGGGGCCATAAAGACGTGTCTCAAGGCCAACAGGTGCTGCTAAATGTTCCATGGCCTTTCCTTACAGACAAAGAATGAAAAGGGAGCATGTCGAGTACAGGCGCTAACGACACTAAGGTTAGCAACGTGTCGGTATTTAGCCACCAGACCCAGGAAAAGCTTGCTTTTTTAGAAGAAAGTGTCACTAGGCTCGGAGTTAAGCGACAGCAAGTTGCTGATAAAGTCCATTCAGCAACGAATGACATTACATAGACGCTACAACTGAATAATGATAAGTACGGCAACACAGCGAACGCTGTTAAAAATGTGCTCAAAGCGGCGCTTAAGCATCTTCAAGAGGCAGAGGTGCTAAGAAAAGGCTGTCTTATTAAAGAAGATTTATACTAACGCTTGGAAGTCGTCATTTAAATCCCTGCAGTGGAGGTAAAAAAGGCGAGATAATTTCCGACGGCATGTAAAGAAACGAACCCTGAACACTGCCTTAAAGAAAAAAGAACGTATTAAGAGAAACAGGAGCCCATCGGATAGCCCTGAAAAACGCCAGCAGGCTATGTCTTCAATGAAAAAGAAAGCAGGCAGTGGCAAAGGAGAAGAAATTCCACTGAATGACAAAACAAGCCAGAAGAAAAGAGTAGACGCCACAACAACAGTAGTAGTGAAGATGGCTGAAGGACAGACCTTTGAAACGGTGCTGAAGACTACGAAGGTGAACTTTGACCCTGATAAGGCTAAAGTGGCAGTCCAAAGTGTTGTCACTACAAAAAAAGGAGACATACTTATCAAAGCCAAAAGTGTAGAGAATGCTATTGCATTCTCACAGCAAATTGAAAAGTCGGTTTCCAGACAGGGTACTGTCAAAATGAGCGACAGAAAAGTGACATTAAAAGTCCGAGAACTGGATGTCATTGTTGAGGAAGATAAGGTGAAAGAGGCCTTCGCTAAGACTTTTGGACATCAGAGCCAGAAGCCAGAAGTTGCTCTGTTAAAGCCAAATGCCAGAAGACAGAGGCTGGCTTTAATAAAGGTGGACGAAGCATCTCCCAGACAAGTAGAAAAGAAAGGAAGGTTACGAGTTGGCTTTGTAAGCTGCCGGATTCAAAGAAGAATCGAAGTAACAAGATGTTACAAATGCCTGGGATATGGACACGTCTCGGGCAACTGTGAGTACGAAAACAGATCTAAGCTGTGCTTCTGGTGTGGAAGCTTAAACCACCGGAAGAAAAAGTTTCCAGGCCCAGTACGGTGCTTCCTTTGCCCAACAACGGACAACAAGCACGAAGCAGGCAGCGGGAGCTGCCCTTCATTCAGAAGAGTTCTGAAATAGGCCAGGGATAAGGCCTTAGCAGGATCAGAATAAGGCTAAAAGGCCTTGAGTTTATAGACAGGCTCATGTGGACCCACGCTGCGCTGGGTACTTTTAACCTATCAGCAAGGGAAAGCATTAACCTTGTAGTGGTGCTGGCTAAGTAGGCGGCCTACTATGAAGCGCTAGACAAGGTGCTGGTCCTCAGGGACCCTGAGTACTTTTCAGGACTCCAGAGCATCAGCACCTCGAGCAAATGGTGGTGAGTTAGCTCGTTAATGCTGTGAGACGCGATGGTCTTTCTAGTGGCTCCACCCTGAAGTAATGCTAATGCGGTTCTGGGGTGGATTAAAAGCCACGCGGCATGGGGGGTTTTAGTGGGTGTGGGTGGTCTAATAAAAAAAATCCACCGAGTCCCACACTACCGCTGTCCCTGCGGTGTGCCTCAATGCATTTCCCCTCCCTCCACAAAAAAAAAAAAAAAAAAAAACTACTACTACTACTACTACTACCCCCCTTCATTGTATGCGATACCTTGTCGAAGACCGTACTGCTTGCAGCCTTGGTCGGGTGAGGGGGCTTTAAACTGACGGCATTCCTCCTTTCTTACACGCATCGCAACTCCTCTATCCTTCTACATCCTTTTAACAGTTACATTCATTGACACTGACATACTCTTGCAGCATGGACGCTTTAGTTCACGTGCGGAGGCTTGCTGCCGCCCATGACACTGTGTCGGGTGGGAGTAGGAGGTGAGACTTGATACGGTGACTGGGAAGGCCCAGGTATTTCTACCGCTGATAAAGTTGGACGTCCGCAAATAAAAAAGATGTGGCGATCCTTTTAACTTAGGAATCTGGCCATTGAAGGACAATATGGAGGGCACTTTTATTGCATACTAGCTGGTACTCTCTTGCTCGGCTGGTGTTAAATATGTGGTGGTTGTATTCGCCTGGGCTCGTGGGCTGGAGCGGGCATGAAACAAGAGAACCACACTTCCACACTAAAACAACACCCCACCACCTAGTTTACTATTTCTAGGAACTCCTAAGAATTAGTCTCTAGCCAAGGGTAGAAGGCTCGCTGTGTTTGACGTGCGGTGCAACCCGTAAGCGGCCAAAAGGAGATCTTGGGCAGTAAGGTGAAACCTAGGCTGCGAGCCGAAGTGACCCGAGCTGTCTTTGGCTCCTGCTGACTGCTAGACGGGAGGCCGGATTCTTTACCAGGTCCGGTCAATCGTCTAACATTGGAGCGGTCACGGGCGGGGATAGGCTAGTTGCGCTGCTGCTTCGGTCTTGTTGGCTTGGTGGGGGCCTGTTGGGCTGGTGGGATTGCTGTAGTGGCGTTGCTGGCTCGCCCCTCTTCGCGGCTTTCTTAGTGTGGTGAGTGCGTTCTGCCACCTGACGTCTGCCAAAAACTCTCCAGAGAGTGGATCGCTTCTAGTTGGGGCGTGATGCTCGAGGGAGTGGAGGTGGACTAGCGTGGCAGGGTGTGCTACTTCTCAAGGTTACCCACCCGGACCGAAATTTCCCTTCAGACATGTGTTGGGGGTGGACGGTGGCCTCCACCGGTGAAGGATCCTGATGGGTCGGTGGGGACCTTAGGACGAATTTTGTTTGTTATAGACATGGCACAAAGAACCACAACCGGGGAAGGACTGATGGAGAGAGTTGGTGGAAAGGAGTTTCCTCCCATCGCGAATCTCATGAGTGGGCCCGAGCATGATAGGGAGTTGGACGTGGCTGCCAATGCGGCGTTCGACGACCTTGCCAAGGCCTTGAGTGAGCTCCAGGCGCTCATGGTTAGGCACCCCAACACGGCAGGCACCAAAAATTTCAGAGTCGTGTTGGCGGTGACTGCCATGGGTGTTCTAAAGCGCTTTCAAGAGCAAGACAGGGAAGAGCCGCCCTCAAGCAGCTTTCAGGTGAAGGCTGAGAAAGCAGGAAAGAGGAAGCGAGGACGAGGTGGAGAGACCCTGAGTCCTCAGCTTACGCCAAGGAAGACCCTGAAGAAGGCAAAAGGGGCTGGACCCCAGCTGCAACCACAGGGTGTTACAGCAGAAGATCCATTTAAACAGGCTAAATGGACGAAGGTCCAAAAAAGGAAAAAAAAAAAGAAGAAAGAAAAGACTAAGGGGAACAAGTCCCAAGGAGGTACGGAGAAAACGCTTAAGGTCGTAAAGGATAGACGGCCCAGGGTCAGGCCTAAGGCAATATTGGTTGTGCCAGCAGAAGGCAAAAAAAATGCCAAGGTCCTGGCCCTGATGAAGAACGTCGACGTTGCCGGGCTTGGGGTAAACGTGGGATCTGTCAGGGATACGAGGACAGGAGGTGTCCTTGTAGAACTGAAAAATACTGTGTCCGAGCACCGTGATGCGTTTGCTGAGGCAATTAAAAGTGCCGTGGCGGACGCAGGTGGTGTAAGGACGCTGGCTCCGCGCTCGACCTGAGAGATTAGGGACGTCGACTCAACGATGACAAAGGAGGACGTCAAGGCAGCAGTGAAAGGCTGCTTTGACGAAAGCGTGTCTCCTAGTACGGCTGTGCGGTTATCTTCTGAAACGAACAGAGGAAACCGCATGGCCTACGTCAAAGTACCTGCGACGGTGGCCCCGATTCTTGAAAAAAGAGACCACATTAGGCTGGGCTGGGTGAACTGCAGAGTGCACCAAAAGTTCACGGTTGAGCGTTGCTTCAGATGCCTGGGCTTTGGGCACATTGCGAGACAGTGTGTCGGACCTGACAGGACCGGGGTGTGCTGGAGATGTGGTGAAAAGGGACACGTGGCACGAAACTGCTCCAAAAAAGAAGTGAGCTGTTTCCTGTGCGAAAACGTTGTCCCGAAACTGGACACCAGACATGTCGCTGGGACTGCCGGGTGTCGGGCGCCTCAGGCGCCTGCAGGAACGGCTCAACAGAAATAGTGGTGAATATGCAGGTAAACCTGGATATGACCGTGCTCGCGCACGATCTGCTGGACCAGTTCTCTCGTGCCCAGGGTGTGGATATGCTCTTTATAAATGAGCTATCCTGCACGTTACCGGGCCGAGGCTGGTACTGCAATAGGACGAGAGGCGCGGCCATCCTGATTCGCAGCGACAAGTTCTCCGTATCCGATACCGAAGGTGGAGACGGGTTCGTGTGGAACAGGAGTGGCAGTGCTTTCTATCTGAGTTGCTACAAATACCCTAACGTTTCGATTGGTGTCTTCAGAGAACGGCTTGCCAAACTCAAGGATGCCGTTCGAGTATGCAGGGAAAGTGGTTATGTAGTCCTGGGTGGCGACTTTAACTCCAAGGCCATCGCTTGGGGAAGCCGAGAACCAACCCCAGAGGACGGGTGGTGCTAGAGATGGCTGCAAGGCTGGATCTCATCGTCATGAACTCTGGTGGTTCAGCAACGTTCAGGCGACCTGGTAACCGGGAAACGATCATCGATCTCACGCTAGTGTCGTCAGAAATGGTGGTACGGGTGTCTGACTGGCAAGTCCTGGAGGATTACACGGCCAGTTATCACCAGTACATCAGCTTTGTGATACACGAGGATCGTGGTGCAACTTCACGAGATATAATCCGAAGGCGCGTTAACGGGTGGAACGTTAACTCAACCGAGATTTGCTACTGGAAACCATGGTTAGCGCGCCACCTCCAGATGATTTGAACAAGATCACAAATCCAGTGGAGGCCGAGACACTCATGAGCAGCACTACGAGACGGGTCAAGGAATGGTGCGACGCGTGTATGCCTTAAAGGTCGGCCAGAAGAGATCGACGTTTGTGCTACTGGTGGACCGAAGACATCGCTAACTTGCGTGAAGAGGCGCAACATCTACGGCGTCTTGCACAGAGACACAGAACTCGCGAAGGCCCCGGGGCAGCTGTTGCTGCGTACAAGGATGCAAAAAAAGCGTTAATGAGGGCGATCAAGGTGAGCAAGAACCGATGCTGGCGCGAGCTCATCGCCGAGGTAAATAAGGACACGTGGGGTCTGGGCTACCAGATCGCGTTAAAAAGACTTCGCAGTACGGATCCGACGTCACCGATGGAACCGTCCTTGGAGATAGTGGTCTCTTGCCTCTTTCTGATAGGAGGCGGGAGGACATAATTGTAGGACAAGTACCTCTCTTTACCCTTGATGAATTGAGGTCGGTGGCATCGGAGACGCCGTGGCGAAAGGTCCCTGGTTCAAACGGGGTGCCGTCCAAGGTCCTCAAGATCATAGCTGCGGAGAAGCCACACGTTTTGTTGGACATGTTTAATGAGTGCCTGCGCGTTGGACTGTTCAGCGAGCGGTGGAAGATCCAAAGGCTTGTTCTTCTGGACAAGGGCAAACCACCCCCCCTGGTCCCGTCATCATTCCGGCCCTTAGTTATGTTAAACAATGCTGGAAGAATGCTAAGGAGGCTGATTAGAACCTGCTTAAGAGGGAAAGTCAGCCTATCAGAAAATCAGTACGGGTTCCGAAAGGGACGATCGACGGTTATGACTGTGGCTGAGGTTTTTGAGTCGGTCAGGGAGGCATGGAAACGCTCTCATATGATTAGGAGCGTCTGTATCCTAGCGACTCTCGACGTAAAGAATGCCTTCAACTTATCAAAATGGTCCGACATAATGAGAGCGCTTAAGCGTCAGAATGTACCGGACTACCGGAGAAAGATCCTCGACAGTTACCTCCAGGATCGAGTACTCCGGTACGACACGAAAGATAGACCAAGAAAGAGGCGTCTGACGTTGGGGGTCGCCTAGGGATCTGCCCTTGGCCCTGATCTCTGGAATCTGGTCTATGACGATTTTTTGCGCCTTAAAACGCCCCCGGGGGTCAAGCTGACAGGCTTTGCCGATGACATAGCATTGCACATCACGGCAAGATCACGAAAGGAGGCTGAGCGCAAAATCTGGTGGGTGGTCGCGATAGTTTTGGAGTGGCTCCGGGATTACGGTTTTAAGCTAGCTGTAGAAAAAAACGAAGATGGTCGTCCTCACCAGGCAGAGATAGTTCGGGGAAAACTTTTGCCTGAGCGTTGCAGGTGAGGTAATCTGCGCTAGTCTGGTGGTGCGCTACCTCGGAGTGTGGATCAATTCACAACTTACCTTCAGGGAGCCCATTAGGAGAGCAGCCGATAAAGCCACTAGGATCTCTGGGGCGCTTTCATGGTTAATGCCAAACGTTGGAGGCCCATGGAAAGCCAAAAGACGGCTCCTTGCATCGGTCTCCAACTCGATCCTGCTGTACGGCACGGAGTTATGGGCGGACACACTTGCGAGGATGTCCGAGAGCGCTAAACTTTGGTACAGCGCATCGGATCCTTAAGAATTGCGTGTGTCTACCACACGGTCTCCTCTGATGCTGCTATGGTGAAAGCACGAATAATTCCCGTCGTGTTGCTTGCGCGTGAGCAGCGAAGAAGATTTCTGGGCTCTGGCGACGAAAGCGATAGTGACAGGTGGGAAGAAATGTTGACGACGTGGCAACAGGAGTGGGATCGGGCTGGTGTTGGTAGATGGACGCACCGTTTGATACCGCACCTACGACCATGGGTGGAGAGGGGACACAGAGAGGTAAACTACTACCTCGACCAGTTCCTCTCCGGGCATGGCCAGTTTAAAGCCTATCTTCACCGCATGGTGGTGAAGGCATCACCCAGATGCATTTACTGCCCTGCGCTAGATGATACCATCAAACATACGTTTTTCGTGTATGAGAGATGGTACCGAGAGCTCCAGCAGCTGAGGGACTGGCTCGGCGTGGCCCCGACTCCTGAAACCATTATCTCTGAGTTGCTATGCACTGAAAAGGGATGGAGGGTAGTGGATGGCTTCGTCGGGTCCGTCATTCGGCAGAAGTAAGCGAAGGAGAGAGCCGCCGCCCAAGAAAAGGGGGCCCCTGAGTAATCTGATGTAAAACCTAAGCTGCGCTAAGTATCCATACTAATCAGCACAGGAAAGCATCAATGAAGTGCTAGAACAAGGGTGCCGCTCCTCAGGGACCCCAAATCCTTTTCAGGATTTGAGAGGATTGGCACCTCTAGCAAATGGTGGCGCGTTAGCTCATTAATGCTGTGAGACGCGATGGTCTCCCTGGTGGCTCCACCCCTAAGTTATGCTAACGCGGTTCCGGGGTGAATCAAAAGCCATGCGACATGGGGGGGGGGTTTAATGGGTATGGGTGGTCTTATAAAAAAAATCCACCAAGTCTCACACTATTACTGACCCTGCGGTGTGCTTCAATGCATTTTTCCTCCCTCCACAAAAAAAAAAANAAAAAAAAAAAAAAAAAAAAAAAAAAAAAAAAAAAACTACTTTTACTACTACTACTACTGCTACTGGTCATAGCCGCAGAAAAACCACGCGTGTTGCTGGACATGTTCAATGCATCTTTGCGCAACGTACTGATTAGCGAGCGGTGGAAGATCCAAAAGCTTGTCTTTCTAGGCAAAGGTAAACCACCCTGCTTGGTCCCGTCGTCGCTCCGACCTTTTTGCATGCTGGATGATGCCAGAAAAATGCTCGAGAGGCTGATACGAACTCGTCTAAGAGGGGAAGTCAGTCTCTTAGACAAGTAGTAAAAGTTTTGAGGGAGACAATCGACGGTCATGGCTGTGGCTGAGGTCCTTGAGTCGGTGAGGAGGGCATGGAAACCCTCACATAAGACGAGAAGCACCTGTGTCCTGGTGACTCTCGACGTTAGAAATGCTTTTAACTCGGCCAAATGGGCCAACATTATAGGGGCCTTAAGACGTCAGAATTTACCGAAATATCTTAGAAAGATACTGGATAGCTATTTTTAGGATCGTGTACTCTGGTCCGACACGAAGGATGAACCAAGAGAAAGGCGCCTGACGCTGGGAGTCACACAGAGCTCCATCCTTGGCCCTGACTTATGGAACCTGGTCTACGATGAACTTTTGCGCCTTAAAATAGCTCCGGGGGTCAAGCTGACGGGTTTTGCTGATGACATAGCACTGCACGTCACAGCAAGATCCCGAGAGGAGGCCGAGCGCAAGATTCAGTGCGTGGTTGCGATAGTGTTGGAGTGGCTGCGGGATCACGGTTTTGAACTTGCGATCGACAAGACGGAGATGGTCGTCCTTACCAGGCAAAGTCAAGTTGGTGGGTACTTTTGCCTGAACATTGTGGGTGAGGCAATCTGCGCAAGCCCAGTTGTGCGGTACCTGGGGGTGTGGGTTGACTCATGGCTCACCTTCTGGGAGCACATCAAGAGAGCAGCCGACAAAGCTGCTAAGGTTGCGGGAGCAATAACACGGTTAATGCGAGACGTTGGGGACCCGCGAGAGGCCAAAAGACAGTTTCTGGCGTCGTTCTCCAACTCGATACTGCTGTAGGGTGCGGAAGTGTGGGCAGATGCAGTTGCGAGACGGGACGTCCGAGAGCGCCTCATTTCTGTGCAGCGCATCGGACCTCTAAGGATTGCTTCCGCCTACCACACGGCTTCCTCTGCTGCTGTTATGGTGATAGCACGAACGATTCCCGTTGTGTTGGTTGCGCTGGAGCAGCGAATAAAATTCCTGGGCTACGGTGACGAAAGTGATGTCAACAGGCGGGCGGCAACGTTGACGACATGGCAACAGGAGTGGGACCAGGCTAGTGCGGGTAAATGGACGCACTGGCTGATCCCGAAGCTGCGACCATGGGTGGAGAGAGGGCACGGAGAGGTGAATTATTACCTCACTCAGTTCCTCTCTGGGCATGGTCTGTTCGATGCCTATCTCCATCGCGTGGCAGTGAAAGCATCCCCCAGATGTGATTACTGCCCCACAGTGGTTGATACCGTCGAACACACATTTTTTGTATGCGAGAGATGGCACCATGAACGCCAGCAACTAGTGGACAAGCTCGGCGTGACGCCCATTCCCGGAAACATTATCTCTGAGATGCTTGACACCGAAGAGAGATGGAAGGCGGTGG